GAGGGATTGGTAAGGAGGAGGTGTATTAGAAAAATAGTGAAGGGATTAGAAATTTTTTTATTTTTTTTACATGTATAGATAATATAGCTATATATATGTGTATATATATATATATATAATCTTCTTTGATTTCTCTCCATATATACTATAGCTATTTATATGTATATAATCTTCTTTGACATCGTCTTGGACGTTTATTGTGCTTCATTGATGATGATGCTCACCAAAAGCATCATTAACCCAATACAGTTCAACATTTTACTCACCCCCATCCCCTAATGTTCATTAGAGAAACCAAATTAAAAACGAATCAAAAGCCCATTTTCACAAATTTCAAGACTCTATTCTCTGAACGAACATCATTAAAAATCACAAATCAAAAAATAAATTTCTCATCTAAATCCACCGGAAACAGTGAGAGAGAAAAATTGGGATAGGATCCTATAGGATCTCCCCCCTTCAAAATCGGACATGAAAGTTTCCTTTCATCCGGCTCAAGCAGATACACCAAATAAAAATAAAAAAGGGAGTTCTCACTTTCAAATTCTAGAAAACCCCCCAAGCATCTACTCCTTACTCAAGTTCCCAGTGAAAACTTCTTAGATCTGGTTTGTTTTGTTTTGTTTTGTTTTTTTTTTTTTTTGAACTCATTCTTTCTGGTATGAACTTAATGAATATGTTTGCCATTGATTTTGATATCTACCATTGATTCTTCTCTCCCTTACTCTTCTCAAATGCACACCTGTTAAATGAAAAATGTTAAACAAAAGTTATACATATAAGGGCAAAATAATCTTTTTACTCTTGATGTTAACGGTGTTAACTGTGCACATCACCACATTAACCACAGGAGGATTATGTGGTGATATTCGAACGTCAGGAAAGTAATCTGCAAATAGCCTAAACCATAAGGGGATAAGCTAAAGTTTGCCCAAATATTTGTATTTGAAAAAATTGTTAGATTTTTTTGCAATTCGATATGATGTTTGTGAAAAAAAAAATAATTATGATGTAACATTTTATCTTATTAGGAATTATTTGGGATGTGCTATATAAATGTACTTTTTGAATTTTTAGCTAAAAAAATAGAAGAAAAAAAAGATGTATGTTTGGGATAACTTTTTGACTTTCTACGAAAAGATGTGTAATAAAATATTGTAGTAAAATCAAAATGACCATTCTATCTTTATTGACTTTTTGGCTTTTAACTTTTTGACTTTGGATAGTTGAATTTAAAGGGCAAAATAATTTTGCCTTCTGGGTTTCCCAACAAGCTTCACCCAAGCTTGTTTGGTTCCGTTTTTCAGAAAACAGTTTTTAAAAAATTATATTTTTTATTTTTTATATTTTAATGTTTTTAATAAATTTTTTTAATATTTTAAGTAATTTTTTTTAAAATTTTTAGACACATACTTAAAAAGTATAATATTTTTGAATTTTTTTTTTAAAAAATACACTAAATACCAAAGAATATAAAAAAAAAAAATGAAAATTCAGTTCATTTTTCGTATTTTTGTATATTTATTAATTTTTTGAAATATTTTTTTACAAATATTTTACTATTTAGATATATTTAGGTATGGTGCATCTAAAAAATTAAAAAAAAAATGCTTAAAATTTAAAAAATATTAACTAAATAAAAAGAGGAAGATTTACCAATAAATCCTAAGTGTTAAACTTATGAACCAATTGGTCCCAACTTTTTTCTAATAAACCGTTTAGTCCTTGGATATTTTGAGGGACCTTAATACCCTCATTCAGATGTTATTAGATGCATGCACTTTATGAGGGTGTGTCACGTGACACACAATATGTCATGTGACACACACAATGGGTATCGGTAAAACTGTTTGTGAGATAGAATTTAAAAAAAAAAAAAAAAAAAAAAAAACACTAAAAACAAAAAAACTCAATTTTCATTAAATTGAATTTATCAAATGGAAACCAATAAACTTTTTTATTTTTTTTTGTCTTTTTAGTTTTTATAAGTTATCCCAAACCAAGCCTAACTATTTTAGTTTATTTTATCATTTTATAAATTTTTATCTCAAAAAAATCTAAAATTAACTTCCCAAACAGCCCTTATGAACAGGAGGGAATTGATATCATTTTATTTTTATTTGACGGTGCTCATGCATCAATTAAAATACTAATAAATATACTCAAACTAGTTATAACATTATTATTAACTCCGTTTATTATTTAAATTATAAATATCAAATTTTTTTAAAATTATATTACATTATCAATTAATACATATAGAAAAATGCCTTAGACCCCCAGCTGGGGTGCTGGGGTCTTCTCCTATTGGCCCAAAAAATTGTTTTGTTTTGTTTTTTTTTTTTTTTAATTTAAAAAACTATGTTAATTGCTTCCAAAATATTTGTTGTAATTCCGCTTTGAGCATGACCGGTATCATTAGTCTTGTAATTATTTTTTCTACAATCTGTTTAAATTTCAGATTTTATGAAATGTAAAATATTTTTTTCTGATTTATTAACTCAATATTTTTACGTTAAAATGCTTCTGTGCATGCATAATTGATTTTCTGACTTGAATTTTTTACAGTAAAACACTGAAATGATATGCTATTTACTGGTATAAGAACTATACTGCTTCGGTTTCTTAAATTTTTATGTAAATTTTTTGTGTATAATTTAATTAAAGCAAATCTCATAAAATTCCAGAAAATTCCAGAAAATTTCTGAAATTTATTTGCTTCTGTTTAGCATATTCTGGATGTTAGAAACAGCATGATTAATTTTTTATATGTTAGAACTCATGTTGTTATCTCCAAAGCATGATTAACATTAGTTAAAGTTTCATGATAAAATGTTGGTTATCATTTTCTAGTTATATTATCATTTTGAGATGCTCATACATGAATCTTTCAAATCATACTTATTACATGGCATATGCACTGGAGGATTATTTTTTTGATAAACATTTTTTTTTTTTGTGCATTAAATTAAATTGAATGTTTGATAAAAATCACTAGAGATGCAAGAGATGATTATAAGCTTAAAGAATTTTCGATCTTGCAACATGTGAATTTTTTTATTAAAATTTAACTAGAATTTATGCGCCAACATTATTCTGTATGTGCTAAAATTTTATCCCATGCGCATTTTTTCTCGGAATGTAGTTAACTATGGCAGGAAAAGGCATTGTAGCTGATTTGACTAAAGAGGAAAAACTGAATGGCACACACACACACACACACACACACACACACACACACACACAGAGAGTCAACTTCCCATTCTGGCTATCAAGTTAGATGAAATGCCAGTAAGACTCTAAGCGTAAGAGGCATATGATACTGCTGTCTCTCCTTCCAGTCATAAAAAAGAAACTCAAACAATAGCTTATGGCCATGTTTGGATTTGGGATTTTGAGGAGGGATTTGTGAAGGGAATGGAAAAGGAAAAGAAAATATGACAAAGAATTAGCTTCTAGTTCATTTACTTTTCCCATCCCTTTTCCTTTCGCTCTGCAAATCTCTCCTGAAATTTTTGATCCGAATACAGCCTAAAAGCAATATTCTTTTTATTGGTTTTAGTCCACAGGTCTTGTTACTATAGGTCATGTCAGAATATGCTTTGGGGCCAATGAAGATATATCCCAAAAGAAAATTATTATTATTATTATTAATATATTCATTATTGATGTCGTATAGTATTTTTTTAAAATTTTTTTCTTGTTGGGTGGGAGAGGGGGTTGCGGCTGAGATGCATCTATTTCAATGTATTTCAAGCATTAAGGGCAACAGAGTATTCATGTAAATTTTGGCCAGTAATTATCGTAAGGGATCTAATTTTTATGTCACCTTTTATTTAAAATTTTAATTTTCTAATTTTACACAAACTTGAACACTTAAGGCCTCGTTTGGCAACCGAACTTTTTAGCCAAAAAGTCAAAAAAATACTAAACTAGCCAAAAAGCCAACAACCCATACCAAAAAGTCAAAGATTTTCTTTTCTTTCTACTTTTTGCACATCTTTTCGTAAAAAAACAAAAAGTCATCCCAAACATACTAGTTTTTTTTAGCTCATATTTTAGCCAAATAGCCAAAAAGTTACTAAATTAGCCTGTTCCCAAACGAGGCCTTAGAATGGTACTGGACAGCTGTGAACTGCAATGAAATCGTTCCTAGATGAAAAAAAGACGAGCAAAAGCAGAAACTAAGGGTCATACAAGCAAAGACAACCGTGTGAGAGGTGAGTTCATTTACACTCATATTTCAAACACACGGGTAGAAAATTTGTAGCATCTATCAGTACAATATATGCAATAGCAGAACAACAATACTAGGAACACAAACCAAATACAAAACCGGATTACTAAAAGCACATGAATGGACTAGATTTTACAAGCTTTGTTGGTGGGGCCCACTTTTCAAAAATCCTATCCATCAATTTATTTTCTTAGGCTGGTTCTGTTTTTTTTGCTAGCCGAAATGAGAGTATCAAAAAAAGAAATACAGAAAGAGCACCGTTGAGAATATAGGTAAATGGTGCAATCATCTGGATAGCATCCAACTCCATCTCAAAACTTACAATCACATGAAGCAAAACAAACACAAGATCCAGTATATGATTGTCAAGGAAGGTTTTTACCAAATAGAATTGTCATTTTCTCGAATATAGTAATGGCTAAACATGGATTTTGGCATGATTCTAATAAGAATCGGAAAATAATATCATGTTTACAACACAACCTCTCTAAAAAAAAGAGAGTAAATGTTAAAATATATCCTCACCAACCACCACTTCACCTACTACACCTATATCTCTCCTATATAATGCACCCCTCACCAATTGTAATATACATCAACAAGAAAATCAATCAATCAATAATATACATCATATTATTTTAACTTGGTATCAGAGCAAGGTTGAGAAGCTAGTAATTCTGCTTCACCGGCGGGCGGCAGCCTCGCCTTGGCCGCCCGCCGGACCTCTACCCATACCTTCACTCCGCTGCTCTCTCTCTCAACATTTTCTCTCTCTCCATGGCGGATGTTCATCATGGAGGAGCACAAGGCATCAAGCTATTTGGCACAACAATTGCAGTACAAATCAAACAACACAAAATGATCATCCAAACAAAGCTGATGATCATCATCATCCTGATCAAACAATAGCAGACAAGAGACCAGACAAGATCATACCATGTCCTAGGTGCAAATCCATGGAGAACAGAGGGAGTGCTAGGTTGGCAAATGTGTTGCGATAGTCCTCTACTTTGTGTCCTCCATCTTGAACCCTCTCTCTCTCTCTTCTAAACAACCCTTGTCCTGTACATACAATACAATACACGACATCTATCTGTATATGTTCATCTCTGCGACACCACGCACGAAAAGACCGAGTTTTGGAATCCAAACGCGACGAACATGAAATTCTGGAAGCATCTCTGCGAACTCATCGATCAAACCTTTCCTGAATGACGAGACAAGTTCTTGACCTACAAGGATCTCAAGAAGCAGTTGCGTCTGATCTACCCCAAAGATGGCGAGACTAGTTGTACTCCTAGTAGCGTCGTTAAACGCCGCAAATTGACCGACGACGGCGGAGCGGAGTGGCGGCCTTCGCTCTGTTCGATCTCCGAGGACGCCGTGACGCCGGAGAGAGACCACCGGACTCTCAATGACTCTGAAAGGTTGGTAAAGAGGAAGGTCAGATCCACCGCCACCGCCAGAGTTCACGTCCGGAGCTACAGCGGCGATTTGGGGTGCGTTTAACGTCTCTTTTGCTTTTTCTTTTTCGATACTTCATTCTCGGCTGTTATATAATTGACTAATTACACTTTACTTTAAATCCAAATTTACTTTCAATTCTCATAATTAAATCGTAATATTATTGCCATATGAAGTTGACATATATAAATTATATAAGTTTTTAATTTCATTTACTTATGACCTCTATATTTTTATCAAAATTTTATTTTAATTTTTAGATAAATTACATTCACCTCTACGGTTTAAATATATATATATATATAAAATAAGTTTTACACTTTTGTTATAATAATTACATTAATCTCTTTTTAATAAGATTAAATGTATTAAAATTAATTCAGATAATATGGAAATAAAAAAAATAAACAATGTAAAATATATGTAAAAAATATGATAACATCATTTTTTTTCTTCATGTAATTAACAAATTATTAATAAAAAAGGAATTAATTATTATATAAATTAAAATCTCAAGGAAATTTAATGTAATAATGTCAAAACTATGAGACTTTATTTTTTTTGGATCAACTTGAAATTGTGAAACTTTATTATATTTTCTCTAAATCTCAAAGGGGTTAGTGTAATTTACCCCTAATTTACATATTTTTGTTAAAAATTCATTTTGGTTATTTTATTTTAAATTTATGTTAGTGAAAACTTGACAAAAAATATTAAGGGGTTAGTTATCACAATTAAAAATAAAATTGTGGAAGTGATATTTTGTTGAAATTACATGGGGAATTACTTTACAAGTGAGACAGAAGGAAAAAAATATACACAAACATGGAGAGTTGCAAGTTGCACTCTCACAAAGTTTGAGTTGCATCTCACCGAAGAACAACTTCTCTCAAATTACATAATGCTAAGTATAATTAAACTCATATTTAAAGTCATTAGTGGAAATTCTTTCAATTTTTTGTTTTTCAGGCGGAGTGGGTTTCCGGTGATGCCAGCTTTCTCTCCAGCTCCATTCTTTTTCTGATAGAAGAGATCCAATGGGCTTTCTTCTTTCTTCTGTTATTGTATTTGATATGTATATGTGTGTATGTGTGTATATTATAGTGAATAATGAGTATTGTATATTTTGGTAAATAAGTAAATGTAATTAATCCCTCGACCTTTGTTGTTGACAATAGAGAATTGTTCATATAAGTGAGATCTAGGTCTGGACTTTAATGAATGAGATCTTCGTTTTTCTTTTCTTTTTAAAGTTAAATTTAATCACTGTTAATTGGTTTTGTGATTGATTATAATGAGGCTTGTAAATAGACAATTTTAGACTTGTGAAATTCTTTCAATTTGTCATGTTGATTTTTTTTTTAAAGGTTTCTATGTTCAACCTATTAATAAATAAATAAAACGGTAAATTACAAATACACATTCTGAGATTCGTTTAAAATATAAATTGTCCTCTATAGTTTGAAAAATTATAATATCTCCCCATCATAGTTTTTTATTTAATAGAATTAATTGAAAAAGTGAAATTTCTAACTGTTCATTTATACAATAATAAAATTATTTAAATTATTAATTGAAATAAAATTTTAATATTATTAAAAAATATTAATTAACTTCTTAATTTATTAATAAAAAGACTTATTTGTTGTGAAATTAGAAACCTTAAGAGGCATAATGTAAATTTTAGAACCAGAGGTGATAATTTGTAATTTAAGTAAACATTAGGGGGTGTTTGTAATTTATCCTAAATAAAAAGTATTAATCTTAGTCTTTAAAATATAGGGTAAATTACAAACACCTCTTGAGATTTACTTAAATTACAAATTACTCCCTGTGGTTGTAGAAATTATATTATGTTCCCTAAGGTTTTTAATTTCATAACAAATTGGTCCTTTTATTAATAAATCATCAAATTAATTAATAGTTTTTAATAATGTTAAAATTTTATTTCAATTAATAATTAAAATAATTTTATTATTGTATAGATGAACAGTTAGAAATTTCACTTTTCAATTAATTCTGTTAAATAAAAATTTCGGATAGGGAGCTATTTATAATTTTTTAAATCACAGGGGCCAATTCATATTTTAAGCAAACTTTAAGGGTGTGCTTGTAATTTATCCTAAAATATATTATTTGTGTCATATTTGGTAGTTAATAAATAAAAAAGTATTTTCATTTGGTCTATTAATATAACTCCACCAATAAGCGGTATTGAAACTACAGATAGATGTATAGATTTTCTGCCAATAGAGACGGTATTGAAACTACAGATAAATGTGTAGTTTAAGAGATCAAATAATAGAAATAACTTATTTTGCAAATAACTTTTTAAGTGAGTTCAATATTAATAACACACTATATATTTTGATAACTAAAAATATGATTTTTGAAACAGTTTTTATATTGATTAAAATGACACAAACAATATTTTTCTATACTAAAAATGGAACCCTAGTTATAATTACATGATATTATTATCTTTTAAAAAATAAGTAACTTATATAATTAAAAAAATAAAAATAAACTTTGGATGGATGTTGCTTAAATATCACGAGCAAGATGTATGCAGCTTTCTTTCGTGTTGTTAACAAGCCGGTAGTATGTTACGTCAAAGGAAACTAGCTTTCTTTTCTTTTGCGATTCTCTCTTGCATTGCATGCCTTTTATTTTTAATTTTAATTATTTTTTAAAATTTATTTATTTAATTGTTGTTTGGAAAACGAAGCTCCAACATCCATTAATTCTTATAAAGTCTCTTTGTCTTTTCACTCATAAACTTTGTCATCTTTGGAAAAAGTGTGGGATTATCACTTCTTTCACTTACGTGTAGAGAATAGCTCCTCTCTGTCTATGATCGGGTTGGAAGGATTTAGCTCATCTACTGTATTATTTTAATAATTTAAATTATTTATTTAATTAGACTTGTCGAATACATTATTTATTTAAAAATTAAATTAATTAAATATCAATAATTACTTGATTGAAAAATATTTATCTAAAAAAAATAGACCCACTTAACAAAACAAAGAAAAAAACTCAGAATTTGAATATGTACTGTAAATTTAAATTTGGTAGGTTGCAAGTTACATGTAAGAGGAATATGATTCACATAATTCAAAAATTCTCTTATTATTATTTTTTATTTCTCTAATATGTAATTATTTATTTATTTATTTTATAGCAAATGTAAGTTGGTAATTTAATCTTTATAATAAACCCTTGATAGAATCATAAAATCCAGGCAATGGAAACGGGTAGAAGAAAAATAGGGGTCCAAGTTACATGTAGCTCAAACCATTGCACTTTGGAGAGAGAGAGAGAGAGCGAGAGAGGAATCACTGCCTTTACTACGTCATTCATCATCAATTTGTTTCCTTCCCAGATGTTATACAAGGAAATAAATACCCCATTTTGTGAATTTTACATTCTTCATTAAAGCTTGAAATCTGAAAATTGAAAACTGAATAAATAGTCCGCTTTCTTACCTCGCCGCCGTGAAAACAAGACCTTGCCATCCCAAATATCCCCAAAATGCCACAAACCATCCTGAGCGACTTCCAAATCCCAAACCCTCCCATTAAACCCCCTATAACGCAAAACAACCCGCTAAACCATTGCGTCCCAATCGCCAATGGCTTCCTCCCAAACCTATCCAATAAAAGCGCGGTTAGTAAAAATGCTGGCATTTCTGCAACTGCATTAAGAAAAACATTCATGTACAGGTTGGTTCCGAGTTTACGACGTTTAAGTTCAACCCATAGTAAACGACCGAGCACAAGAAGTTAATGGCGACTGAGAGAAATAACTGGACACGGGTCAGGGGCGATCGAATTACGTCCATGACAGAACCTGTTATCGCCTCGTTTGCAGCTTTTGCTTCGACCTTTTTCACGGACCAGGATATGTGCATAAAAAAATTGAGTTAAGTCTCGTTTGGGAAGCTACCTTTTTAGTCAATTAATCAAAAAGTTACTAAATTAGTCAATTAACCAATTAGTCATATCAAAAAGTCAACAATTATAGCTTCTCTCTACTTTTTGCACAGCTTTTTGTAATTAGTCAAAAAGTCATCCCAAACATACAAGTTTTTTTTACCTACCTTTTTAGCCAATTAGCCAAAAAGTTACTAAATTAGCCTGTTCCCAAACGAGGCCTTGTATATAACTAATGGGCGACTAATTTGGAGTTTGTTTCACTTTGCTGTATAACCTTTTAATTGTGATATATTTCATCTTAAGTTTTGAATCTCATTTTAAATAAAGATAATTAAAGGTACTATTTTCTTTGCAAACAAAAAATGCTTCATTTTAAGAGCAAATCTGTCAATTTGATAAAATAAAAACTAGTTTGACAAAAATAAATGTCAAAAAAATTATTTTTGAATTTTTAAAAATTATTTCCATCCATCAAAGATAAAATTATATAAAAATGATAAATCTTTTACATTTCTATTTTTTTTACCAAATTAATTTTTAATATATGTTTTAATGATGATCATATAATGAGTAGTTGTTTTTGTTGATTAGATAGTTATCATGTAATATTTGATTGTTTTTGTTATTAACAGATATTTTTTGGTGGTTATCATGTACGGGATGGCCATTACACTTTTAATGTGTAATCGATATATTGAATATATGAAATATTTTTAATTTTGGATTTTTTTGATTTAATGAATTGATTTAATAATGATATCAAAGTTGTCGCTGTGCTTGACTTTAAAAAAAAAATGAAAATTAATTTAACAAAAATAAATATAAAAATATTATTTCTACCCTCTAAAAAGATAAAATTATATAAAAATGATATATTTTTAATTTTTTTCACCAATTTAATTTTTAATTTCTTAGAAATTTTTTCTAAAAGTAGATTCTGAGAACCAAACCAAACAGAACTTCATAACCAAGAAAGTGCTAGCATTATTCATTAAAAATAAGACCATTACATTTTAAACAACATCCAAGGTAATCAACATAAAATAAGTTACTTGACGATTTTGCCTTTGAAATGGACTATTTGCAAAGAAAATATCTTTGATTGTGCTTATTTGGAATAAGATTCAAAATTTAAGGTCAAATTTATCATAATTGAAAAGTTAAGAATCAAAGTGACACAAATTCTAAACTACATGAACTGTTAGTGTAATTCGCCCATAACTAATTTAAGTTAATTTTCTTATATAAGTGTAGTGAAAGAAGAATTTCACGAAGAAAAAAATAAATAAATCTATCATTATTTTATTTTATATTGTTTTTTAAAATTTTGAACCTTTAATTAGATCTTAATTTGTAATCAATTAAGTCACTGTTTTAAACTATTTTATTGATTGATGTAATCTACTAAATAAAAAGAATACATAGCTTTCAATTTTTTAAATAAATAAAAGAGAAAAGAATAACATGTACCGCTTATTTTAATAAAATCATTTTGATAAAATTAATGTTATAAAGTAACATGTTAAATAATTTGAGGTCATTTCATTATATATTATGATATATTAATTAGTAAAGTAATTTTTATAAAATGAGAATGTCATCTTATTATGCGTTTCACAAATATCGACCTCGCTGGTGGTGGTGGGTTTTATAGCGATTTCGAATTTACTCTTGTTGTACAGTGATCCGGACATGTGTCCGTGGATGTTGGTAGTTGATTATTATCTTGTTTACATCCTTTTACTTCGTATTTGAGTTATAGGATGTGTTGGGCAGGTTTGTTACAGGTTGGTTGAGTTTAGAAACCAAAACTAGTTGTCCAGATTTTGACCTGTCCGCTCGAGCGGGGGTTTTGGCGCTCGAGCGGGAATTTCACCCATCCAGTATTTCCTGTGCAGTGTTGGACGCTCGAGCGTGGAGTTGGCCGCTCGAGCGGGGTTGTGTGAGTGCCGCTCGAGCAGGGAGCTGGAAGCTCGAACGAAGACCTGGTTCTGTAAAAGTTCTGGGAGTGTGTATCCTCCGCTCGAGCGGGATTGTTGACGCTCGAGCGGGAGTCTGTGAGTGACACTCGAGCGGGGTGTTTGACGCTCGAGCGGGGCGACTGGGTTTAAGTTCCATGTTTTGACTTTTCAAATCACTTTTTCACTTTCTCTTCTCTCTCCTACTTTTCCAAAAACACCATTGTTGAGCCTCTCACTCTAGAACTCTACCTTCTCTCTAGGTTTTGATCTAGTAGGAGTGATTTGCCCATCTTTGGCCTTTACAAAAAAGTTGTTGATCGTCAAGGGCTACATTTTAATCTGAAAATTTCGGGATTTGG